AGCAAACTCACCGGATTTAAACCCAATCGAGAATCTGTGGAACCACCTCAATCGGGATGTTCGCGCCATGGATCCTCAACCGCGTAATCTAGCGCAGCTGGCCACGGCACTGGAGTCGGCATGGCTCAACATCCCAGTGAACACTTTCAGAAACCTAACTGACTCTCTTCCTGCACGTCTCGTAGCGGTTCGCTCTGCCAAAGGTGGTTATTCTGGCTTTTGACAGGTGGTCACATTAATGTGACTGGACTGTGTATATATATATATATATATCCAGAGAGAGCGAGAGAGAGAGATAAACGAAATTATAATGTATTTGTACAAGTTATTTAAATTTTTAAATTTTGCTTAAGAAAAGTTAAAATTGTTCTTAGGTCCTTTCTATTGCAACTTATTAAGAATTAACTTTATTTTGAATGCGTATAGAAACGAGATATTTTTAATGAACAGCTTTTCCGACATCTCTTTGCTTTAATTGAACATAACTAAAGGCTTAGTTGCCCGGCAATTTTAATATATTTCTGAAATAAAATGTAATTCCATCGAATGAATCGTCGATATTTGAAAGACAATGTGTTTAACTGCATGTTTGATTAAATTAGAAGGGTTGATAGGAATATATCTACAAAAGAACTTTTAATCCTAAAATAGTAAATAAGATTGCGGAATTAAAAAAGTAATATTTTTTCTGTTATTTAAAAACAGAGATGCCAACTTGCTTCAGATTGCGGATAAATATTTTTTTGTGGTAGCAAAATTTATGTTTTAATGTATGATTCTTGGTTTAGTAAATGCGATTAAATGTGTGTTCATCCACCTCTAATTCTAAATACAGTTATATCGTGTATAGCCTTTTAAAAAATTGGTAAAATTTACCAAAAATCTGCCCATTACAGTATATAGTTCTTTACCGTTTTTTAAAATATTTTATTAGAATCTAAAGCAGTTAGCAAATCTGTTTAAGACATTTGGATTTCGTTTAAATTTTTAATTTCCTGATGTTTTTCGTTTTTTTATAATGGGCTGTCATTTGAAAGCACTATAAATTTCAAGAAGAAAAAAAGTGGATTTTTTTTATTATTATAGAAAATGTTAATTCTGCGTATTTTTGTTCTCAGACGCGTAAAACATTATGTTGTTACTACTTTTTGAAGTGTAATTTAATAACGTGAAGTGCGCAAAATAGGAAATATCTCGTAATAACTTTTGCTCTAATAGCCAGATATTCACGCCCTCAATATTAATGGTTCGATGGTTTAATCCTAATTCTTAATAAATGATAATATTGAGACACAAAAACATAATTTCTCTGAATACCTTTTTCACTCGATGTGTATTAGAATTTTTGATACTCAGAATATGGAAAATTCGTAAATCCTGATCCCACGAGAGGAGAGGAATGGAAAGTTCAGGCCTCGTGTGTTAATTTTATTTATTCGGTACTATTTTGCCATTTCTTGAAAACTCTTTAAATCAATCAAAAACATTTTGCAAGAAATTATAAAACTCGTTTATCCAAAGATAATTCATTGCAAAAAATGTTTTTTAATAATTAATATTTTGTTACTTTATTTGCGCTTTTTTTATTTTATTTTCAAGGTGCACACATTTTTACATCATTTTAAAGAACGTAATTTCAAATGGTAAAGTATAAAAAGTGAACGAAATCGGTCAAATAATAATTTAAAATTCAAATTTTTATTATATGAATTTTCAAAAATTTATAAATCAGAAACTATTCACCCCATTTTCTTCAATAATAATAACAGTAATTAACTATTATCATTTATTTCGAAAAATAAAGAAATCAGAAATTTTTAAATGCGCATTTTAGTTTTGGATGAGCCAAATCTAAATTAATGTAGTTTTTCGATCGTTATTGCAACAAATGGTGGTTATTGCAACAAATTTTTATAGCTTTAAAAATACCAATATTTTTAGTACGACAATATTGAGATGTTTGAGTTTCAAACTTTCGAAATCACTTTTAAGGCTCTTTATCTGTGTCCATTTTATACTCAATCCAAGTGACTTTTCGATCGTACTTTAGAGGGCTATAGTGTTGGATTTCAAAGTGTTCTTTTTTTTGTTAAAAAAAATCTAGATCTTTTTAATACGATATTATAACGACTCGCGAATTTCGAATTGGAAAATCGGAATAACTTCTGGCGTGCTTTTTTATTTGTTTCAATTTTATCGTAAATACAAGCTATTTTTTCTTCGTTTCTTCTGCAATACGCATTTTTAGATGCTTTTGAAAATCCTGATATTTTTAATTTGCTGCTATAACGACTTCCGAATTTCGAATCAGTAATATTAATTATCACCTTTGACGTACTTTTTTTGTACCGATTTTCGTCGATAATCCATGTTATTTTTCAATTGTTTCTTTTTATCTTGATATTTTTAATATAATGTATTAGAAAACGGGAAATTTGAATGTGACTTTCTAAACTGCTTGTTGTTTTTAAAGTTTATTCATAATTTTTTATTGCTTAAAAGACGATTTTGGCATTAATATCGAGAAAATATGGAAAAAGATGTAAAGATTTTTGTAAGAAAAAAATATTAAGAAATTTTTTAAGTTAAAAAAAATAAGAAAATTTTTGAATTTGAAAAGAAAATTTCTTAATTTTTCCTTCAGTTTCCCTTTTTTTTTAACCTCTTTTATCCAATTTTTCTCTTCCTTTTTTCCTCTCTCTCTCTGTATGTGTGTGAGTATATTTGTATGTATAAAGTCCCATTAATGTATTTTCAGAAAAGTTTTTTTTACGAAACAAAGAATAAATTGAAATGTATATTTGGATAACTTTCCCAAGTGAATGATGAATTTTGTAAAGTTGATAATAATTTATAAGAAAAAGTTGAATTTTGTTTTGCAGAGAATACAAGTTAATAGGCAATTTTGTACCATACATACTTTTATAAAGCTTTTCAGCATGAGAGTCACAAAAATATTTATTTTCTTTTTTTCAATAAACGGAGTTTTTATATTCTGAAAGTATTTTTTTTTTTACCAAAAATAGCCTTTAAAGTTTTTTGGAGTAATATAATGTTTTAAGATTAAAACTTTAATGCCATTTTAATATTTTACCCTTTTAAGTCACAATTTCATGCATTTAAAAAATAAATTTAGAAATCTGTAAAAGATAGTAAAAGTGCCTCCAAAAAATTTTTTATGCACATTTAATTTTTTTTACATGAAGAAATAATTTTTGCATTGAAAAACATTTTATGAGAATCAAATTTGATTTATAGAATTTGTTTTGAGAAAAAAATATAATAAAGTGTGTTATGTATTACAATTCAGAAATTGTTGCTAAGAGAACAATAAATTTTGATTTCTTCATAAATATACATTAGGCATCACTTGCAGCCACCTGGTTTGCCTTTTACAATGAGTAAAATTTAGTACATCAGATTCCAATAAGAAAAAAAGCAAATATGCTAATTATATCAATGGCATCTTAAATCTCTAGCAAAGGGCCTTCTAAAAATGCAGGGTCCTGGGAAAATTCCCCTCACCATTACGACAGATCTGATTGCGTCAACTAAAAAATTTAAAAAATAAAAGGAATATATTTGGAATCATTTAATCATTCAATAATTTGTTTTATGCAGCAAAAAATTATTATTGATCACTATTATTTTTTAAAAGCAAATCAAGGTAAACGAAAGATCACTATTGTTTATTATTTGCTTTAATTTAAAAATAAAAAGAAACTAAAAATATTTTTGAACTCATATAACCATTCAATACTATTTTCTAAACAGAAAAAATATAATAAAATATTGGACAGTTTATTCTTGCTTTAGCTAAAACACGAGAAAGAAAGATCTAGGACTACTTCCAGAATTATTATTTTCAAAGAAGACAAAAAAGTGTAAATAATTGTACTTAATTACATCAAACAAAAAAAGGTGTATTTTTGGAATCATTCATTAAGATTGAGAAGTTTATTTACATGATTTTTTTTACGTAACAAGCGAAAAAAGAAAAAAACATAATAAAATATTGAAAAATATTCTAATATGTTATTCTAATATAATAAAATATTCTGAAAAGAATAATAATAATAATAAAATATTGGAATAATTTATTCTTGATTTAGCTAAAACACACAAACTAAAAGAGATTTAGGACTATTTCCAGAATTATTATTTTCAAAAAAGACAAAAAAGTGAAGTAAGTGTACTTATAATTACATCAAATAAAAAGAGTATACTTTTGGAATCATTCATTTAAGATTGAAAAGTTTATTTATATGATTTTTTTTACATAACAATTGAAAAAAAAAACATAATAAAATATTGGAAAATATTTTAATATGACATTCTAATATAATAAAATATTCTAAAAAGAAAAAACATATTAAAATATTGGAATAGCTTATTCTTGCTTCAGCTAAAACACGAGAAAAAAAGATCTAGGACTCTTTCCAAAATTATTATTTTCTAAAAAGACAAAATAGTGTAAAAAATTGTATTTAATGACATCAAATTAAAAAAAGTTTATTTTTGGAGTCATTCATTAAGATTTCAAAGTTTATTTCCCATAACAAACGAAGAGTGAATCTTTTCGCCACCTGCGCTCATGCTTTTTTCGTATTCAAGCCAACAGTCAGAAAGTTTTATTATGTCACAATTTTACGAGGTTCTCGACATCCCGTCGTCGTCGTGCAGTCGATTAGAACAGCTGTTAGAGAACATAGCTTTAGTGGAATCGAACTGACCAAATGATATTTTCCTTAGTGCTGAGTTTTAGAGAGTCATGAAATATGTAAGTTATTTACAAATACTTTATTGATTTATGTTCTTTTAAAAATAGATAGAGTTACTAAGGATACGATTTCTAAGTATACTGTTCAGTTACTATGATGTATTACGTGTTAAAAAAAAGTATTAAAAAATATTTTGTCATTAAATAAGAGGTATTATAAGCGAAATGTCACACTTGTGATAGATAAATTGGCTGCATTTGGAATGATTCCAAGTTTGTTTGTTTTTTTACCTATTTTATAAGCGAACTCTTAATGATGTATTCACTTAAATATGTTTACTAGTATCCAAGGTGTCAGCTGTTCGGATTGTAAATATTACTGTTAATTGAGTCATATAATCAGAAGCTGTTTCGAATCCTCTTGAATTCTCGAGATTTGAAAAAAATTTGGAACACTAATGGGTAATTTCACATTTTTTATAACAAAAATATATGTACCGCTATAACAATTTGAGGAACCACTAAAGGCTCTGCTTAATATTTCGGTAAGATTTAATTTATTTTATTGGATTTGGGTTATTCCGCATCAGAATAAAATTTTCACGTGAATTCTGGGAAACCTAATTGTTTCATTTCTTAGATCATTTTTTATTGACATTCTGAACTCTACATATTTGAACTTTAAAATTAAAAATTTTGTTATATGTATGCTTTAAAAAATTTAAAATGACCCCTTTTGACCCCCCAAAAGGACACTCATTCCTGGAGAGCACACTGTTTTTAGTTTGACTCAATTAATTTTTTTAATAAATTTTTAACTGTACTAAAAAGTTTTCATCGACTTGAAGTTTTGGATTTTGTAATCAAAGTTTTTTTATTCTATATCATTTAAAACAATAACATTGAAGGGAAACTGTAGGTTCATTCCTAAATGAAAGAAATCATTTATATGAAGACATTTATATGACGTCAATACATTTTTACTTTAAAATCAAATAATTTAATATCAAACGTTTTCCGCAAACTAGTACGAAATATGAATACAATAATGAATTTTAAAAAAATCTTTAAACAAAGAAGGAGGCAAAAAAAAAGGAAAAATTTTTTAATTAATAACTTTTTATAAATTTCTCATAATTTTGTCAAAGTATCGCTGGTTTTTTAATTTTTCTACTTATTTTGCGAAATTCGTTTTAATAAAATAAAGTTATACAAAAGTCCTAACTCTTGAAAGGAAGTCCTAGAATTTTCGCAGAACATTGTTTTCACACCACTGTTTTAGACCATATTAGTTTTCACAAATTCAAGAACTTATGACATTAAAGTGAATCTATTACATAAAAAACGTTGCAATCACATTTTTATTATTGTAGTGCTGTAAAAAGTACCTGTATGCTTAGACTAAAGTAATCACCCATCTAATTTAAATGATTATATTATTAACCCTTTAATGCCGAATCACCAAAAGTGATGGATATATGAAAAAACTCCAATAAGTATAAATTTTCTTATACCAAGCACTTTCAAATAATACTACGGAATTTTCATAGTTTCAGAAAAAAATTTTATTGAAGCATTTTTATAAATTAAAAATAAAAGAGTTTTGTACATCACCGAGCAAAAAAGTTTATTTGAATTAAAACAAAAAATTAGATAAGCTAAAAGTCTTACAGTTTTATAAGAATTCTAAGGTTTGTTTTAGATCACTGGAAAAACGAACCTCAAATAGTATGCAACTTTCTGAAAAATTGTTTATAAAGTTGTTCAAAAGAGAACTGAAACAAAAGTAAAAACTGAATTTGCAGTTGCGAGAAGGATTTATTTAACTTCACAAACACACTTAAAAAATTGGTATGACATCTATATTACATAGTACCAGTCAAAATCATTATAAACCGAGATGATCATATTAAAGTGAGCAATTTTTACCACTTTAAATATAAAATCTTTTAACAAAATTGAGATCAATGAAACTGGATCCTTCACATTAATAAGAGGTATATCGAATTTTCCCCATTTTTTCCTTTCCTGTATTTTTTATCTTACTGATCTTTGAAATACATGCTGGTTTTTAATCAATTATTACTATTTAAGATTTTGTTGTTTATAACGCGATTCAATAAATATACTATATATGTACTATATATGATAAATATACTATATAGATATAATAAATATACTATATATATANCAGTTCTATGAACATTTGAATTTAGAACTTTTTTTTGTAGATTTCAAAATTTTCGCAAACTTTTGACCGGTAGTGTATATGAAAAATGTTGCAATCACATTTTTATTATTGTAGTGATGTAAAAAGTACCTGTGTGCTTAGACTAAAGTAATCACCCATCTAATTTAAATAATTATATTCTTAACCCTTTAATGCCGAACCACCAAAAGTGATGGATATATGAAAAAACTCCGATAAGTATAAATTTTCTTATACCCTTTCAAATAATACTACGGAAATTTCATAGTTTCAGAAAAAAATTTCCTTGAAGTATTTTTATAAATTAAAAATAAAAGAGTTTTGTCTATCACTAAACAAAAAAGTTTATTTGAATTTAAACAAAAAAGTTAGATAAGCTAATAGTCTTACAGTTTTTTAAAAATTCTATTTTAAAAATAATGTTTGTTTTAGGTCACTGGAAAAACGAATCTCAAATAGCATGCAACTTTCTGAAAAATTGTTTATAAAGTGGTTCAAAACAAAACTGAAACAAAAGTAAAAATTGAATTTGCAGTTGCTAGAAGGATTTATTTTAACTTCACCAACACACTTAAAAAATTGGTATGACATCTAAATTACATAGTACCAGTCAAAATCATTATAAACCGAGATGATCATATTAAAGTGAGCAATTTTTACCACTTTAAATATAAAATCTTTTGACGAAATTGGGATCAATGAAACTGGATCCTTCAACTGGGTAACATTAATATGAGGTATATCGAATTTTCTCCATTTTTTCCATTCCTGCATTTTTTATCTTACTGATCTTTGAAATGTATGCAGGTTTTTAATCAATTTTTACTATTTGAGATTTTGAGATTTTGTTGTTTATAACGCGATTCAATAAATATACTATATATATATATATATTAGCCGTTCATTATTTCAAGTTCTAAAAATTACTTTCATTGTCGAATCTGAGAAAGTAAAAAGAGTACACACAGAAAAGCTGAAGGAGCGCTGTCCTAATACATTTATAATTAGGGTTGCAAATTTGTCGCGGCATGAATTTTCATCATTTCACAAAAATTCGCAGTTTTTTTTTCTCTACTAAAAAGATTTAGAATTTGATTTTTTTTAATCTGTTACATTTTAAAGCTACTTTCCTAGAGCTTCGTAATTGAAAACATTTAAGAGAATAGATCAATAGTAAAATAACATTTTTAGAGTAGCCAGATGTTTGAGGAAAAACAAGTTGAATGCTCTCAAAGCAACGGAATCACACTGGCGAAAAAATTAATCCAATTTTGGGAATCCAAGGTAGATTATCCCGAATTTTCGACGTTTATCTATGCCTACAAACAGCGTAGACACTGAAAAATCGTTTTTCCAATATAAGAATGAGTTAAACAGATAAAATTTGATTATGTATAATATTTTGTTTTTATTACGTACAATATGTTTTAACTATGTAATATGTCTTAAATGTGTACAGCATTTTTCATTCTCAAAATACTGTTCATTCTGTAAAAATATTATTGCTTGAAATTAAAAAACTTATTTTTTCGTATTCCATGAAACTTTAAACAAATAAACAAAACAGAACATAAACAAACAAAAATTTTACGTGAATCTGGTTTCTCGTGACAAATTTGTTACCATAATTATAATTGTTGTAACCATAATTATAATTGTTGTAACCATAATTATAATTGTTGTAACCATGATTATAATTGTAAACAAACAGGGCTGCTTTTGTAATTATTGAGAAGGCAATTTAAAATTTCACCTCATGTATTTGGCTAAAAAAAGTTTGAAATCGTCACTTATCTCGCTGAGTATCAAAATAGTGCTATTTACAAGCAGTTCCCTGCCAACTCCCTTTGTTGATGTTTTATTCTTGTAAACATTCTATTTCATTGGATTACAACCAACAAAGGTTAACATTAGACATTTTTTTACTTCCAAATCTACAGAAAATAGAAGGTATATTACCAAATGTTATTACTTGAATATTCCATACGTGCACAAAATATACAAATGTCAAGTTTCATTTATTAACAAATGAATGATTTCAAATTGTCAGAAAACATTCATTTGACAAATTTCAAGTAAGCAATAATTTACAGAGCAATTATTATCAAATGATTATTCTTAATTCCAAGTGTGCAAAAAATACATAAATGAAAAAGTTTCAGGTTGACAATATTTTATAGGTATATTACTTAATAGTGTCCTTTGAATATTCTTAATTTCATATGAATAAAAATTACGCACATTACTATATTAATAAATATGAACAATATTTTAAAAATCAATTTTTAAAAACTATAGATAATAAATAAACAAGACAGTTACGGAAAAATTCAGGTATTTTTGAGGTGTAAATGAGGTGTTTTTCAAAGGTATAAATGAAGTTGCTATTTAAATATATTGTTAGGTTAATGAATACCTCAAAAATACTGGCAGAGGTATCAACCTGAGGTGTTTCATCTAACTTGTGTGAGGAGGTAGATTTTTACTACTTTAAGAGGTTTCCATTTCACCCTTAGGTCATTAGGAGATCTTAATTTATCATCCAGAAGTTTTTAATATTACACCTGCGGCAGTAATTTCTTGATTGGTTAAGCTATAAAAGAAAGTTTTAAATACATATTTCTTCTGTAATTTAAATAAATTCAATTAAATTATCTTGAAATGACACTTATCACAAATTCCACAGTTAAAAAAGATTATTTGTGGGAACTCACATATTTGTAACTAAGGTGATTGAATTGTTAAAGATATAAAACTGCAAATTGAAATAATTGGTCAGCTGACGCTTTAAATATTTATATTTAAAACAAAAATTTCGTTTTTTTTGTGCAAACCAAAAATTATTTCAAAT